GCCTCTAAAGATGTCTGCATCATAACCCATAAACTTGTATGTTGGATCACATGGCAAAGGCGAACTATGGTTATAAATGGAATTAAGGTTGCATGTGGGACTGTGGAATTAAGGTTGCAAGCGGGACTGAAGTTGTTAATCAGTTGGTGTTGAGATAGAAAGATTATTCTGACTATCCTGATGGATTCAATGAAATCACAAATCCCTCGTTAAAGTGGGAGAGCAATGCAGAAGAGGGAGAGTGAAAGAGAGGGAAACAGGAAAAGGACTCAGTCTAATGTTTGCCATAGGGGGACAAGAATCCAGGAAAAGCAGACATCCTCCCAAAGCTGCAAAAGGCAAGAGAACAAGAGAACATAGTCCCTTCTTCAGGAAGAATGTAGCGTGGCTGACATTTCACTTCTAGCTCCCTAAGACTGGTTTAAGTCTTGTGACCACTAAACTGAAAAGAATGCATTTGTATTGTTTTAGGTCACTAACTTTGTGCTAATTTGTTATAGCACCAATAAAAAACTAATACAAACAATTCCCTGGGTACTTATTCACAGTGAGACAACTGACAGACTTTTACCAAATCAGAAACCCACACAGGGAGCAGATGGAGTATTGCAATTGCCACATTATGGCAATGAAACAATTTATTTTTTGTAAATCATAACATCTCTGAGGCACAAATTCCCATCCTACCTTTTACATATTGGCAAATACTGTACCAGGAAAGAGCAGTATGTCAGCTGGGAACCTAAGATGAATTTGGTATCAGTTATTTAGGTCATAAGAAAACATTAGAAAAGGAACAAATGTTCACATTACAAACTTTATTTCTAAGAGTTTCTTAAAGTCTTTCCAAGCAGAAATAATTTTTAAATAGCAACATTAAATATCTATTGATAAATTAGTCTTTCATACTACTAATTCAAAACAAATATGACATGTAAATAATGATTGTATTAGAACAGTAGAGATAGCTGTGGTTAATATATTGAATGTATATATTTATTTATGAAATATAAGATGCTAACATATAGATGCAAACACACACACACATATGGAGATCTGGATTTAGGAGTAAATTTTTTTGATATGTATGAAAAGATAAAGATTCCACTATACAGAAGTCCCTTTAAATATTAATGCACAGAGTTCAATTTCTGCAGCTCCTGACATAGAATGTGGTATCTTTTAGCTTTATTTGCTAGGAAACTTTGCATTTCTCCTTCAAAGAACTCATATAATTTGAACATATTTCTGTTTAATACATTACCTATTTTTCCAGATAGAGTATGTATCAGTTAAATGTTAAAGTTCTCTTCAGATATTAAATTAAGTGATTCACATTCATTACAGAAAGAGAAAAAAGTCTACATTTTCAGTGTATACATTCCTAATTTGTTATATATGGTTATATTAGGCATTCCATTTGGTTTCTGAAAGGTATATATATATTTTCTAATATTATGAAGTAAGTTAAAATGACAATCTTATATACCTAGACAGGAAATGAAAGTAAGACATGAATATCTTAGCAATAATTTGTTATTTCTATCACTATGACAAATCCTCTCTGCTTATCTCATAGGCCTCTGTCATGATAACAGTACTACGGGAACAATTTTTTTTCTGTGTGTATTTTCCCAGTCAGGATCAACTTTCTGAAAGAGCCCTGTAAATATATCTGATCTCCTTGCTATTTATTTCCCATCTGACTCCTTTGCTCCAGCTAGTATGAAATATTAAAGTTTCTAGAGTACAGCAGGATGGTTGAGTGTATAATGACAATGGCAGGCATTTTCATTAATGAGATAGCTATGGACCAGTAATAATGAAGAAGAAAAATTCTTAAATTACATATCAAACTGTCCCTGAGAATATCAGATTAGCTTCTCTGTGCCCAAAGTGGCTTACAATGGACTCAGCACAAGGGAAGGCTCCCCCATCACAGTCTGTAGCATCTATGAAAACAGAGTAATGTGCAAATATCTGAGGTAGGCAAGGAATGGGACTGACCAAAAGACTGCTGAAAAACAGTTATCATTTGCCATGTGTCCTCTTTGACTTTGTAGTCTGCATTTTATTATGCAACAGACTGATTTTCAGGTAGGGGGAAAAGAGAAGGCTTTAGTAAAAAATAGAAGTTCACAGTTTACATGTTAGAAGAGTTATCAATAAGGACAGAAGTCTTTGGGTTGTTTGGGTTTTTTAAAAAGTATCTAGAAGTGTCTATTTGACTGGCACAGAACATGAGACATAAGGAAAGAAGAGAGGAAGGAAAAGTACACATATAACAGAAAGTGAATGTTCTTGATCCTGAATAAATCATGGTGGGTCCACATGCAACCAAGGTAGCAAGCCGCTATTAAGGAAGGAATAGATTATGAAAGGGTGAAAAGAAGAAAGAGCACTTTGAGGATCCCAGTGCAAGTCCAAGATGACACAAAAGGAAGGAAATTTAGAAGGAAGGAAATTATAATTAGATATTTTAAGCTAGCTGAGACAACTTCTTGGTATAACATAAGCCCCGCAATGGTGGGAAGTAGTAGTGTGTCCGCTGCTTAATCCACAGCCCAAACCATAATGCCTGCTCACTGGTAAGCACGCAAATATTTTCTGAACAAAAGATAAAATGAATGATGGTCATCACCAGATCTAGGATTTCCTAGATTTGAGGCAGGGATCTGGCTTTATACATAAATAAGGAAATTAACACTTTTTAATATGTCTATAAATATTCATAGTCAGACCTCCCTAGAAAATGTTTTACATATTCCTGAGCATTCATATTTGGAGGAAAGCATTGAATAGATGACATAAGACAACCCTGCTATTTTTTTTTCATATTTGAATCAAATTGCACTGCCATGTGTAATTTGAGGGAACAATTTCAGTCCTATTAAATTCCACAAGAGAATCAACAGGATGCTTGATGTGGCATTTGTGAGCTTATTATATAACAAGTAGAAGAAAGTGGTGATAGTGGAAAAGAATTCTAAACAGAAGACCTTTGTTCACTCATTTTTGAGAGCCTGAATATCTTGGGCCATGCTGTTAGTTATTTTACATATTTTAAAAAGTCTTTTTACCTAATGAGATGAGTTATAAACTGGCCAAGAATAAGGCAACTTAAATTTTTGAGGTACTAATGGTATAATCTGTAACACAAAATCAATACACCTGTTATCGCTGGGTCTGCAGCATATTCAAATGGTAATAGGATTGTTGATGATAAGCCATGCATCACAAAAAAAGACCAAAAAATATGTGCTTTAGTCAAACTGCATCTTTCCCCATTCCATTTGTTTGCTAACTCTTTGTAAAAACTGAGTTTACCAGATACTTCACCACCACTCTCAAAACAAGGAAAAGCAGGCTTACAGAGAGGAAAAAAATGAGTTTTAGTCATATTTATGTCAAATGTAGGTATCTGCAGAATAGCTGTGTAGAGAGATTTTGTGCAGAGATTCTTATAATGATGTTCTGAGTTATGTTTTTTTACAGTATGTTATACAGATAGGATCCCTCTGATGTATGCTACATGCAAGATAGGATTGAGAAGCATAGGTACAATGGGCAACTACAAGCATCAGTTTAGAGCTAATGAAATGATACCTGCAATGGAGATTTTAGTGAGTTGTCAGCACACGAAAACATACAGAGCAACTTACACTATACTCCCAGCTATGGTGGACTAAATGGTACCAAACTTGCCCTCCTGCTGTAACAATTAGAACATCAGGTAATATACATGAAGCCACTCTTTACTTTTGTTAAACAATGGATAGCACAGGACTATTACTCTAGGAAAAGACAAACAAACTGTATGGTGGCCACACCTGTTACCTAAAAGCATACACATGTATTACTCAGTTGAAGAAACAAAGTTCAAAGTTCTGGGAGGCTGATACAGCTAGAATTTCCAGGGCATAGTACCAGAGAAGAGCTATGTAGAGAAAGAATTCACAAAAACCTCCCTATGGGTATCCTTGAATCAGTCACTGAACACAAAGGTATGAGTTAATAAGCCTAGAGTGAAACTCCACAGCCTAGCCAAACACCACCAGAAAACTTTAAGGCAGAAGATTCCCAAAATGCACAGAGCTGGGATATATCTGTGTTCTAATTAGTAAGAAAGAGAAAAGAAGAGAGGTAAGGCCTTACTAGCAGGTTTAAGCTAGCCAGTAAATACTTTGGCCTCTCAAAGCTTATGAAGAAGCCTTGAATTGATTGAGCTGACCCTCAAATAACTGCCTACCAACAAAATTCAATGCCCTTTTAAAGTTAACAAAATCAAAACACTCAAGTCATTCAGCATCCAAAAAGATAACTAGACATATATCACACGGAAAATGTGACTCATAACCAGAAAAAAAAAGAAAAATATGGAAAAAAAGAAGTAAAGGGGAACAAAGATAGGACTCTGGGAAACAACTAGACATGATTGCAAAGATAGGAAGAAAAGGATCCAGAAAGAGGCACCAACTAGGAATAGTGTAAGATGTTAGAAAAATGAGGAAATTGTTGGGACATGGAAAAGTGAAAGGAGAGATAACAGCCGTTTCTTCAAGGTAAAATTGTTCCTCACTCAGGGTGGGCAAAATATGTGTACATTTAACTTTCAAAAACATTTTAAAAATATGCTATAAGTGTGGTAGCACCTGCCTATAAGCACTACCTATATGCGAGGCTGAGGCAGAAGAACTGCTTGAGTTCAGGAATTGGAGATCAGCGTGGGCAACAGACATTATTTTAGTATGTGTGCTGCAGAAATGGCACATGGGAAATAGAACTAGACCATGGCTCAAAAAAAGGAAAATACTCTACAGCCTTCCTTAGCAATGTCTCCTTTATCTCCCAGTCACATTTTTTTTTAACACATAAAATACTCCCAATAAGAATGATGAAATAGGGCCGGGGATTTAACTCAGTAGTGCCCATGAATGGTCCTGAGTTCAAAACCTGGTACCAAAAGAAAAAAAAAAGAATGATGAAATTAAAATCGTTACCAAAAAAGGCATTCAGTAGCTTCTGAACTTGAATATTGCTACCCACAGTGCGGTATAACCCTTCTGTCTTGATCCCTAGGAAAAGAAAATCAAAGTCAGTTTTGTTTACATAGCTAGAATTTTCAACTCTCCCAGGGTAGAAGAGGGAAGTGCTTGTACAGAGGAGCCAGTAAAGCCAGGAAGGGGACTCCATAGTCTCTTCAAGTTCTCCAGCCCTCCTCCATGACAGAGGAACACTACTAAAGCATTTCCCTGTAAACAATCATGCTTTTATTTAGATTGTACCAAGCCCTGTCAATCTGAACAGAAGAGAACATATTCTATGGTAACCAGAAGCATGTCATTTGGTGGGTGGCAGCACATAACTGAGAAGTATGTGGCCACGTTGAAAAGGAGTTAGGGTTTAATTGCAAAAAGAGAAAAAAACAACTCTTAAGTTGTTTCCAAGCAATGATAGAGGTGGAGAGGGCCAGAACATAGTAGCTGTAAAAGGAAAAGGTCATTTCCTGCACCCAGAAAGGCTGAAATGTATTTTTCAATGAAAAAAAGAAGCTTGGTCTATACAGTAAGCCCACCCATATTCTAAATACCCTCAGAGTACCTTGAACCAGGAAGCAGGTTGATTCTATACACACTTGAGTTTACCTTTGTACTCGTCAGTTTTTAAAACAATACATATTGTGGCAGAAATTGAACACTGCTTAGGGCAGAACCATCATGACAATGCTAGAGGAGCACCACATACCAGTTTGGACTAATTTATAAAACACTCAACATTATCTCTTTAAAAGGAAGGAACCATAAATTATCCAAGTATGTTTAGATACTGGTTTAGAATTTGCTAAAATTTTACAAATTGTGTTCACTGCACAAGGTTTATAGATAATCATCACTGTAAAGATGGGTACTGACCAATACATATCATTGCTCCCTTAGTGAAATTGCCCCAGACCAAACTGGAGTGACCAGATTCAAACAATGACAAGGCTGGGGTTCAGATCTTACCTTTGGTCTCAATGATATTAATGCACTTCCTAACAAACTTGAAACCCACTTCATTCAGCTCCACTGTTTCAAGCAAAGAAAAGCACAGTTAGATTATATTGCAACAAGTGTCACCTACCAAATAGTTAATGACCATGCCAAGGAACTACTATGATGGAATGAGGGGTTAACTGCTTAATGAGGGGTTAACTGCTTATTGCCAATCACCCTTACATAGAAAGATCCTTTTATTCAGAGGAAATTTAGAGTTTTAACTCTTATGACACAAATTACCTTTATTTAGCCCTTTGTATTTATATGTGCTTTAAGCATGAGCAATATCAAAGTGAAATGTTAGCCTGCACATGCACACAATTTCTGTTATATGTCTAGAAGAAGGACATAATGTGTTTATCTGTATCATCATCACAAGATAAAATGTGACTTCCATAGTTCAATGAACAGATAATTTAAAAAACAAGGTTGAATTTCATTTCACACAGAATTTTCCATATACAGTCACACATTAATAGTGCATATCATTAATGATAGCATTAACCATGACTGGGATAGCCCACAGATTATGCCAATACAGCAGAAATTTGAGTGACTTACTTTCTTCCTGTTTTGTTATGGGGCTGTGGTATATCTACAAAAAGAAGAGAAACAGAATGTGCCATGGCCATTGTGAATCAGTATGGGTATGGAGGGCAAATAGTATTAAATCTCTTTCTCAAGCTATCCCAGCAATATCATTAGATACTCCAGGGCAGTGACGATGAAACTTTTAGAGATGAGTGCCCAAACTGCAACCCAAAACCCACTTGTTTATCGCAAAGTGCCAACACTGCAACTAAACCTGGATACTGAGGTTTTAGTTTAGAAATAACTCATACATTAACATCTTTTGTCTGAGAAGAAAACAAATAACACACATACCGTAGGTTTGCCACCACTGCTCTAGGGCCATCAGAAGGAAAACTGGTCTAAACAGAATCATCTTTGCTCACATCCCTATAAAACACTTTCATGATCCCTGAAAACTGCATTGGATTTCATTCAGTTCATGGAAGTAGAAAATGTGCCCAATTTATCTTAGACATTTACTTATATAATACTTAGACCATTTTTATGATGGAACAAGAAAACATGGGTAAGGGATAAATGACTTTTTCATGGACACCAGGGTAATGGGCACAAATGGTAAACTTTAAATGTTTTCAACAACAATCTCCCTTCCTAAATACTAGATAATGGATGCTTCTCCTTGGAAAGGCAAGAGTCCATGTGAAAGAGAACCTTGTATTTATCAAGATTTCTCTATGTTGTTCTGAAGTAAGCATTATGATAGCTGTAATTGAGACCAAAAAGGAGACTCCTGAAATCCCATCTTGGCTGTGCCTCTGTTTCACTAGGCATACCCTCTTCATTTTCTATATTTCAAATTTTCTACTGATAAGATAATCAGGGTTGCAAGAGATATTTTTTGAAGACCCAATCTTCTTTGGATATTCTAATCAAAAGCACGCACATGGTATATAAGACCAGTGTGTGGGAGTGTATAGTAAAACAACAACATTAGCAATGTGAGGCTGCAGGAAGAAAAGCCCACTATATGCCATCTGTTAGAGTCTGATTTAACAGCCTCTTTTAAAATAATATTTTCTATATATGGGTGTATACCCATGGGTACTTCAATGGGAGTTTCCACACTAGCCAGCCTTTGGTGATGCCTTTATGAACAGGAGTCTTGTGAAAAGTCTACCATGATCAAGCTGGTGAAGTTCCATATTCAGTGGGCCCATATTCTAACATCACTCTCCACAAAGAGCCATCTATATCCTTTGATGTATTAAGACCTACAGGGAAAGCAACTGCAGGACAGGGAAGCAAGAATTAAATGCCTCGTGGCACCTCCTTGCATCCTCCTAGAGAAATATCACCAGCATACAAAAGCCAGGCATCAGGTTTTTAGGAGGTTTAATGTCAAAGCCAGGCTTATCATCAGAAGCACTTTAATGACAGAACCAGGACTCGAATCTAGGCTTTTGCAATTCCAACACAAGGAAGCTAATATTATTTCATATGCCACTAATAGGAAGCTTGTAGAAACATACTGAAGAGACTCCTTTTCAATGAATTGTGACTGTTCATATTAGTCTGTTAAGGATAATCACTAACCCTTTTAAGGGATTACTTGTCCACTTGCCTAAAATATTCTAAGTGGAGTATCCTGGGATACAGAATGGAAACTCCATCTCCTCCACCAGCTTAACTCCAAAAAAATAAACTGATTGAGGCTAAAGGGAAGGGAGGATGATGAGGAGGGAGGAGAAGGAGGAGGAAGATAAGGGGGAGGGGGAAGATGGGGAGGAAGAGGAAGAGGAGGAAGAAGATTTTGAATAAAATCTTAATAAATGTTTATTTAATCAGGACAATTAGTTTCCATCCTTCGGTAAGAACACATACTAATTTTATAAACTGAGAAAAGCCTAAAGCTACAGTCAAACACTGGAACAGAGAAGGTGATCATAGAAAAAAATCCCTTGCCCTCTCTGGAACTCAAATTGCCTTACTTATTAAGACCTATGTCTTGTTTAGAAGGGAAAGAAGTACAGCTTGCAGCCCACATTCATTTATTTTTTAGAAATAGAAAATTACTGTATTTTGTAAGTGAAAATACTACTACTAAAAACACAATGCTATAAACAGAATGGTGTCTTTTGTTTCCAAAGACTAGTGATATATTAGAATGATTCAAAAAATAGTAAAAGCAAGATATTTTGTGGCAAACGTTAGAGGTAAAGTTAGGACTATAATCCATGAGTTATCTCAGTAAACACTGCAGCCACGAGCACCACCAGCAAATATTCTCAGAGCAACTGGGAAATTAATTTTAACACATTTGTGATGGGTTGTAATTTGTATGTCACATTGCTGGGGTATTTGAACCCCTAGTGGTACATGCACACCTCTCTTCCATCAGGTGGCTTTTTATTAATTTTATTAGTAAAAAGACCAATAAAAGTGATTAAATTTGTTTGTACCACCAGTAGTACAAGATGCCCAATGGGGACTGTCATGCACATACTACCAGTGGTTCAAGCTGAGAGGAACATGTTAAACAAGAGAGGTGGAAGCCACGAATCCTTCCAGTTCTAACGTTTTAAATTGAAAGTATGACCATCTAATTGTGTTAGACTCACAAAGACCAGTAGAGGGCAGTCATACACTGGCCTATGCTACTGAGATCTCCCCAGTGGCTAAGGTAACTTACAGGTTCCTTCCCATCCATGGCTTCCATCCATAGCCTTCTGTTAGCTTCTGAAAGAGCCTGCAGAGTGATGGTTCCGGGCCTGAAGAAAAAACTTACAAATTGAAAACAGAATTCACCCACGATAATGGAGTCTTAAATTCTAGGGTCCCTATCTTCCCTGGGAGGTGACCAACTGAGCAGTCACCAGCCTACAAAATTATAAGTTTTCAAGACTCTCTTTGAACCAGAAGAGTAAGGGGAAATTTGTAGAGATGAGGAACTTTGTGGACCCTAGGGCAGGTGGTATGTTGTTGTCAGATATCAAGGTCAGGCAAGAAACAGGAAGGTGGCTCTTAAAGACACCTTACCATAATGCTCACATAAAATTGGCCCTGTTATGCTACAGCCAAACTGAGGCTCTCTCTACCTTCATCTCATTGGAAGCCAGCCACTTAGTCCAGGCTCTTGGTCCAGGGGTGAGTATGTACATCATAGACACATTCACCTGTTAAGAAAATGGCTCTGCTTCTACCACCTAGGATGTCCAGGAAACATTTCCAGTTGGAAAGAATACAGCAACATGCAGACTGGCTAAGCCACAAGGAGGAGGTCTTTTGGAAAACAAACAAGGTAATGATTAATAACAACAGCTAATGTTTAGCCAATGCTCGCCAGGTTCTGTTCTCACTGTTTTCACATGTATCAACTCATTTAATCCATCCAACAAGCCTATGAAACAATTACTACTGCAATTATCTCCATTTCCAAAAAGGGAAAACTGAAGCATGGAGAAGTTACCCAAGGTAACATAGCAGGTAAGTAGCACACAAAGGATTTAAATCCAGAAAGTGAAATCCAACAGCCATAATCTAACCCACTATGCAATAAGGCCTCTTCTGTATGGCAGATGGCTTCAAACTGAGTTGTGTTCTATTTGATTGCAGGTTACCTGCTGTGGTCTGACTGACCCCCTAAATTCATGTACTGACAGAAAGATAAACACCATTGTGGTAACATTAAGAACTGGGGCCTTTAGGAAGTGACTATCATGAGGGTAGAGCACTCTAGGAGGAGATGAAGGATTTTTAAAAGGCTTGAAAAAGTGTATTTGTCCTCTTCCACTCCTGCCAAGTGAAAACAAAGTAGCAACAAGGTACAGTGTTGGAAGTAGAGATTGTGCCCTCACCTCACTTGATCTTGGTTTTTAACCTTTAGAACTGTGAAAAGTAAATTTTGTTGTTTCTTAATGTATGGCCCTTTCTCATGCATTTTGTTATAGTAGCACAAATGGACTAAGACACTATCTACACCCAAATAAACCCCAAGTAGGTATATTCTTTATGGTCATTTAGACCTTCATAACCAAACTGGAAATTAGGGTTTGATCATACTACTGCAAGAATGAGGTCTCCTTGCAACCTCTGGCTAGCTGTCTCAATATGAGAACCCTGTTCCTCTCACTCCTTCTATGATAAAATGAGACCACTTTCAGAGCCATAGAATGATTAGAGTAATCACAAGAGAGTTTGGAGACCCTGGATAAGTCACTGGACCTACATTCATTTATTCAACAGAGTACTAGAGCACACAGTCTAAGAGGTCCTTTGAAGCTGATTTAGGATTCGTGTTCTACCTGCCCTTCTATCTCTTACCTCATTAAAATAAGACACTCTTTAAATGAAAAGGCAGATGACCTTTAAGATGAATCAACTGAAAACTAAGACTTGGCTCTAGACACTTGGCTTCTTTTGAAACATTCATCCTTTTGTATATACCTATAGGACTAGAAAGACCAGAGATCTTTATAAAGACAGTTACCCAGCAGAATCCCAAGGTAAAAATGGAGAACAAGCACATGAACAACAGACATAAAAGCAAACACTAGACAAGATATGCTATGAAACCTCCTTGATAACTCAGATTCCTTAACTGGGAAATTGAAAAGCCAGTGTATGTAACTCCTCTCTTGACTTTAAAGGGATGCTGGAAGACTAAGCCAACTATTTTGGAAGCATTCAGAGATTCTTGGGTTCTAGAGAAAGTCAAATTCAAAGAATAATATTGCTAAGGAAAGGATAAAAAAGTGGAAAACATTCTAAGTTCTAGTCCATGACCGCAGACAAATCATTTACCTTTCCCTAAGTCTCACTTCCTCATCTGGTGCTGAAGGCATATTAGTCATATCAACACTGTGGTGGAGTGGTTAAGAGGGTAGCCTTGGAGATTTGAATGCCTGGATTTGGAGTCTCTCTCTACCACTTAATTAGTGATGTAATAAAGTTGCTTAAATTTACTCTACCTCATCTTCCCTTGTGAATGGGGATAATAGCAGCCCTGACTTCATGCAACTGAAAAAAGGACCAAAGGGAATTACTTATAAACTTAGAGGCTGAGAACTGTGCCTGGCACACAGCTAGTACTCGGCTTAATGCAGTTGTTTTTATTCCTAAGGCTCTGTACACTCTGATGAGCTATGAGCCTGTGGCTTAAAATACTAGTAGAAATGCTACATTAACAAATAAAGTGTTACCCTTTCTTCTTGAAATAGAGGAAGAGGCCCACAGAAACTTTTGTGCTGTGCTCCACAAAACATGAATACAGGTGTGTGGTGCCTGCTGGGAAGCCTGCCTCTGTTCCTTATATCAGATTGATCAGCTAGAAAAGTAGATGCTTAGACCTCAGAAAGTTGCATGTGCACAGAGGGCCTCAACAACTGCTCATTATTATATTCACACCACTTTTATTCTGTTTATGATACACAAAGAAACAAAATAATAAAGGGCATGGACTTTAGAGACCTGGGCTTGAGCTAAATCTCTCCACTTACTATGTGCCTCTGGTTGGGCAATTCATTTACACTTGCTTGATCTTAGCCAAAAGGCCGAGGAGGGATTGGGCAATTCATTTAAATTTATTTGGTTCTCAGGCTGCTCACCTATAAAATGGGTTTGGAAAATTAAATAAAGGAATTTTTCTCAAGCCACTATATGTGGTTACTAAAATCACACATAAGTCAAAATTTTAACTCCTGAGTTCTAGTCACAAATTTCCTCACCATTCTAGGGGAAGAAAAATAACCTGTTTAAAATAAACGCCTAATTTACTACCCATAATAAGTCCTGCAGAACACAAAGTGCAAGAAATATAAAAATCAATTGGTGAGGGGGTGAAGGGAGGGCAGAGGTAAGGGGAAAAAATGAGAAATCAAGACTTGCCATGTAGAGGTACATGATCCCAACAATGAATGTAACTGTACTGTATCCCTAAAATGTACTAATAAACTCAATTAAAGCTGAAAAAACATAATAAAAAAAGAAATAAAAATCAATTGGTCCTAGCCCCTAACCTCAGGGCAAAATCACTTGTATCTCCTTGGGGTTGGGGATATTATTTGTGAGTAGCTGGCAAATTTACAATGAAAAGGGAATCTGAATGGAATTAGACAAGAAAAAATTTAATCTATTTTAAGCACTTTGATGCTGCATAACAAGAGACACTATAGGTTCATAAAAGGAAGACAGACCCAATAGTTAATTTCCTCTTTATACTGGCTATGACACTGTTGGGAATGTGAGTGACAATCTGATGATTGCTGGTAAAAATTATCACTATCAGTTATCTGGATTGGATTCATCCATTTTTAACAAGGAAGACATATAGATCCACCAATCAAAATGCTGAGTGCCAAATAATACTTTTCATGTTTTTAAAATAGGAAAATAGACTAGCGGTTATTTCCAGATAAGAAAATCGCCTTCATCTGTTAGGCTACTCTTTATGATCTGTCTCTTAAGGTTTTTCTCATATTATATTACAGTTCACTCATTGAGTTCTTTTCTAACAATTTGGTTATGTTCCTAAATTCTACTCTATTAACTCCGTGCCTAATATACACAAATAATAGATTAAAATAAAATCTAGATACACATTCATTAACTAAATTTGAGATCAACTTCCCATCCACAAAGCATACCTTTCTCCAAAATAATGCTATAGGCTCCAAATTTTAATATGTTAAGGTTAAATTCTCCTTGGAAAAAATAGTATCAGAAACAAGGTAACAAAGTTCAAAATTTACAAGCTATACCTATAGAATCTGCATGGAGAAACTTTCAGTTCACATAAATGTCTGCTAAATAGGGAAAATCTGTTTCATTTTTGCACTGCAGGGTAAAAATAACTCCAGAAAAGCATCTCCATCCTCTACCCCATCTGCCTTCCCTCAAAAATGTATGCCAAAATATTTGTTCTTTTATATTTTAATAAAGACCATTTTAAAAGAATAAATTTTGTTAGCCTGTCCTTTTTGCAGCACCACACTTTATGTCACATCAAATTAAATCCTAGGAGAGATCTTCCTGCCCAGGGCTGGTGAGGCAAACATGGCAACAGGAGGCACAGGGGAAATCAGCTGTGTGCCAGGCCTGGCAGGGACCCTGTGAAGTGCAGGATAATGAGCCAAGATAATGCAGTCTTGCACAGATTTGCTCATTTTCAACAACAAGCGATGACAGGAAAATAAAAGACCTACCGAGTCTCAGCATATGGCATGGATGGACACTGTCAATTCATAGCAGTGAAGCTTACCTTTCATTAGTTTCTATATCAAAACAGAACCTCTTGTCGATAGACTCTGTCTTCCTTCTCACACAGTACTTCAGGGTTAAGTCCACGGGCCCCTGATATGAGAAAAGGATTAAGATGCAATTTGAAAAAAATGCACAGAAGCTTCATCTGTCTCCCACAGTATCCTTTGTATCACTTGGAAGGCATATAAGCCAAGCCAGCAAGAGCAATGTGCAGACTCACTGAGAGCTCTGTCCATCAAAATGCTACTTGTGACAAGATGGCAGATGATTTCTCCATGATCCAAGAATCAATGGCTAGCACCAAGAGAAAATGCTCGGAGAAGGAAAGCACGCATCCCTTAGCATGACAGATTAAACAGAAAGCTCAATGAACATCACCTAAGGCAATTTAAGAAAAATGGATTTCCTTAATGGCATTAAGTATACAGAATAAAAATTTCATGAGGCCTCTGGTAGGGAGGACACAACAGGCTTTCTGAAAACATCCTTAAAAAGTCAGGAGGAAATTGAGCAAAGATGTTTCCATTAAAATGGCAGCTGGAATGGGGGAAAGCAAACATCTCTGTTCCCCACTCCAAATACTCGAGTATGCCAAGAATCACAAAACAGAACTCTTCAAGAACACGAACATTGTCTTGTACCTCTGGCATATAACAAAGAGTGCTCAGGAAATGCTCATGAACTAAATCATCCTTGCTACTCCTTTGATGAAGAAACTGAACCAAGGTTAAAATAAAAAAAAAAGAAAGTAGACCTTAGAACTAGGATGTAAAACGCATCTCTTGAGACTGTTCTTACTACAATTTCTAACATGGAAGGGACGAAAAGCTACTAAAATACTATTTGAGAGGTGATCAGTAAAATGAGCCATACAACACAGATGAGGACAGGCTGCACTAACGGGACACCAGTAAGAGTGAGTGTCAGAAAGATGGTCAGTTCTTCTGTCTTTAAATTGGGTGCATGACATGTAGTTCAAGGTGCTGCTCGGAGAGAAAACAAAGCACACAACAGAACGTATTTAGCTCAGGTCTTGGCATCGAGCTGGCATTCAAGAAATAGAGGTTTTACAGTCCAATGTTAGCTTCATTATTGATATTACTTACAACTCAGAAATACAAAATATTACCAGGTACTGAGTCAGAAAAATGACAAGAACAAATCATTTTTAACTCCAGTTTGGAGAAATTCAAACAGCTCCTCCCTTTCCACTCTCTGTTCCTGCCTACTGAATGGAGAACCAAGTTCCTCATTCCACTCCATAAGAAATCCCACATGAAAACTGCTTATACTGACACTATTACAATTTTACAAGCAGCCACTCAGTGCAAATGAAAGAAGAGAAAAAAAAACTAAAAGGAAGCTTTATTCTTATCTGCTAGAAGGAAATAAAAGTGGTGTCTGCTAACTCTATCTTGGGCTTAGTGATATACAGATCTGAGGAGGAAACAAAGGGCCTGAATAACATTACTGGTTATAAGTCCAGTTATAATACCCAGGATTTATAATGTAATATGTGTAGCAAAATAAAAAGACTGCAGTACAGTGCTGCTTACCAGCACTTGCCAGTCAAATGTATCAGCTAAGTTCTAATTGACTTAGAACAATTTCTGTACTGCTGCTCAAGGTGAATTTATTGGAAGCCTGCCTAGAGGCACTGTGGCAATTGGCAGGCTGGAAAATTAGGACTGTTTTGAACTTATGTACAAGTAAAATCCAATGATAGAAGTATAGACAAAGATTCCAGAAATCCTGTTTGAATACATTTTGCTAGAATTTAATCCTATATCCAACCCACATTCAAGACAGTGATAAATGCTATAGCTAAAGATCAAAGAAAAAGTAATCTTCAATAGCATGTCATCAATCCTCAGTCCCATCTAAATTTATATGAATGAGTCACATAAGAAAGATCTTCCAAGGAAAGCAACAACAACGAAAAGAAATTTGCCCAATCTTTCTCCAAATCCCAACCTACTTAAATTAAGTCTTCATGTATTACTTTCATTACTAACAAGTGAATCTAAAAGTGTTGCTAACAGCTTGTAAACACCTAAAAGCATGCACTAAGAGACTGTATGAGAGTTAAAGGGAAAAAGTCATTGAACCACTATTACATTATTAACAATTTGTCTGATGATCAACATTTACCTTGGATATACAAAGGGGGGCATTTATATAAAACATCAGATTTTTCCAGGAAAGTAAATTGCCTTCTCAGTGTGTTAAATTTTTCTTACCATTTTGGGAAGTGGATGGAGATTTGGAGAGCAGCAGAAGAGATATTATCTGTTTAAAAATATTTGAGTGCTACACAGCTTATGAGTATGGGTTATTCTGAATTTAGGCAACAGACATATACGTTTTGAAAGGTGATTTTGGAAATTGATTCATGTTGTTTTTAAATTTCCTAACTTAAAATAATGCTATAGTAGAGTCTTCTTACAAGCAATGCATCCATATTGTTGCATATTTTCTTCATATAGTGTGACAAACTGTAATACTAAATAGTCTGAAAGAGTACAGGCAATTTCAGAAGGCGTTATAGAATTAACTGAGCAATTATGTACTCAACTAAGTGGTTTCTGACTCAATACAGACTGAGGCCAGAAACATAGGAGACATATGTAGTGATGGCTTCACATAATACAGTTGAGCTTGATTACTCAATACCAATTCAACAGAGGTTCTTTTCTAAGATGCAATTGCAAATGCATCTCAAAAAAATCTGGCATAAATAAGCACTGACCTGCTTAGCACCTGGCTTCTGTTCCATAGGTGTCATGGTGAGCGTTTTAGTTTCTTTTTCATATCGGCAATAGTACTTCACCCAGGATATTCCCAAAGCCCCTAAAAATATATACAATGGGAGACAGAATAAAGGATTCAGTACACTAAGGCAGAGGCTGCTTAATAGCCTATTCTTTATGGTCAAGCTCCAGATCCAGCCCAACCCTTTCCCTGAGCTCCAGTCTTACCTAACCACCTGCCGACTGAGAATATGCAGATTTTAACCATTACCAACTGCTTTCCAAATCTGTTCCTGGCTTGCCCCAAACCCAATCTCCTTGTCATGTTCCCTATATATGGAAGCACCCTATATCCCAAAAGCTGCAAAATTCACTCTCTGCCCTTCTTTTCCTGTAACTAACTTCCTATTTGATTGGTTGGAAATCTTTTATCACCTACAAGTCTCTCCATCTGACTTCTCCAAGCCATCACTTTCAGCAGTGAATTAAAGGTATTATTTCTGTCTTTAAAAAATGTCTTATGAGCTATTTCATACAAAAAAATCATTATTTTCTTTTTTTGTACTGGGAATCGAACTTGGGTCCTTGCACTTGCAAGGCAGGCAGCAACACCACAGAGCTAAATTCCCGGCCCCAAAAATCATTATTTCTCCACTTAATTGTTTCAGTGGACTTTTTCTCCATTTCTAATCACACCTTTTCAGTCTATTATTAAATTATTTGTTAGAGGAATATTTTAAAGATATAACTCTCCCACAACATCAATGGCGATATACAGCCTCTCTAGGACCCAGAATTGAGATACCTAGAAAATAACAAATTGGAAAAGACACGACAAGACAAGAAAGGAAAACAGAAGAATAAATTGGAGAAGAGAAAGAAAAATAAGAAAGTAGACATCCAGGAATTGGAAGGGAGGTCACAAGAAAAGTAGAAATCATGGCGAAGCTGGAGAATTGAAACAAAATACAGAGAAAAGAATGAAGCAGTATGAAAATCTCACACTGGTTCCAGAGAGAGGAAGCTGTCTCTTTAGACACAGGGGCACCAGGGAGAAAAAATGAACCTGGTCATCAATGTTAGCACCAAGATAACCCTAAGACTATACTAAATTGCAAAAGCAGTGTGCAGTTTTACTCTGAAAATGACTCTTTCCACATAGCAGGATAGAGTTGAAGAAAAAATCCAATTCAGTGCCTTCCATATTTCACAGGGGTTCACAAAGAGCCATTTGGGGAAACACTTAATTTTTTGTGTAAGAATGAGTCACATAATTAATTACTGAACAAATTCACTTCAGAGCTTATGGTGTAATCCTATCACAGTGCCTGGGTGAAAGATGGCCACAAGAGAGTCACAGAGAGGGCATAGGCTAGACATAAATCTTCTGAGAAGTTTAAGCTCAGGCCAGGAAGGGCATGGTGGTAGTGGGGATGGGGGGCACCATCCATTGTTGATAAGCCAGGCATGGTATGTGTGGCTTTCAGAGGTGGCTAGGACTAAAAGTGAGACATTAAGCCCAAAGATCTGCTTGAGCCCTTACCCCACTACCAGAGATCAGTGGCCTGATTGCTTTCCCCATCTACCAACATAAGTAAGTATCTCCCCTTTGGACAGTTGTTATAGCCTAGGGTGAACAAACACAGGAGCCTTAGGGGTGGGGAGTGCTTTATATACCCATAGGCCATAAAGATAGGCAGAGAAAACCATGACTAGGAGTGCACAGGTCACAGAAAGTAGGAGTTGCTGGATTAACTACAGCTTTACATCTTGCAACACTGATTGAGAATGACCAGCAGAAAAGACAAGGCAAGATTCAGCAGTCACATACAAAAACATGAGCTTGGAAACAAAATAGACCTTACATATTCATCCATATCTGATGGATTTAAAGACTGCAGACTCCAGAAAGAAACCACTCATTCAAAAACACAAACGAAAATTGTTTTGGATCTTTTTTCATTGCTTTTATTTTTTTTGTGGTTAGGGGTTGCTGTTTGTCCTTTTCTCTTTTTTTCTTATTTTTCTCTTTTTTACTTTAACTTTTTCATTTTATCTTCTTTTTCTCATTTGTTCTTTTCTGTTACTACACATTTATCTAATTCTATTAATTTCATTTTCCACCTAAATAGGGCCCTTTATCTCTTTATTTTCTCATTTTTTACTGCTCAGTTTTTCAAATCTTATGTGTTTCATTCTCTCGTTCATCAAAAAATTTATGCTAGCATAATCATTATGTTTCATTAATCTTTAGCTATCTGGATAACTGTAGACTGCTACTGTTGAATACTTCTTCATTGTTATTGAAGATACAGCTATTGCACTTAGTAGAAATTTATTGTATGTCAATATTTGGTTTGTTTTAGTGTTTATAATTATACATGTCTTTTTATTGTTATGGGTGGAACACTATTGGTACTTATGGTATGTCAATATCTAGTTTGTCTTTGGCTCTATTATTTTTGCTGATTTCCTTACAATTGCCAGGGTGGCTTGGTTGTTGGTATTAATTGGTTTTCTTTATATACCAATATCTGGGTTGCCTTTGTGTCATCAACAATACTGCAGTCTATCCCCAGAGAACTGGGTGCTGGGGCAAACATACTGAATCCTCCCAATTATATAAATGAAGGTAGATAGATATTGTGATAGAGGCAAGAACTTATACTTAGCCATTCCCAGAATACATTCCTAAAAAAAATGCACTAGTAACTAAAGAGATCTCCATATTAGCAATAAAGTGTTTCCACAAGAGTCTACCCACCAACTGTAGCACATACAAAAACAGAATAAAAACACAAGAAGACCAGGCAAAAAAATTCTTCCCAAACCTCAGAACTTCCTAAAAGCTGATCATTGAGGGTCATTGAGGGAGAGTAAATCAAAAGGCACACAGCTGAATTATGCAAAATGATAAAAGAGGAAAAACTCAATAAGGTACTTGGGAAGCTCACAGAAGATATAACCAAACAGATACTGGCTTTTATGAACAAAACAATAGCAAGTTTATAGGAGATAGTAATAAAAATCTAGCTGAGCTAAACAAAATGATACAAAAAATACATGACCAGTTTAAAAAAGAACTAGAGTTCAGGAAAAGATACCACACAGAAATCTAGGAGATTAAAAATTCTATTCAGAAGACAAGTGGTAGAAATGAGTGACTAATACGAGGACAATGGGTTACAATCAGAAGACAGGGCTGATGTCTGTAAAAAATTACTGAGATACATGAAAAACAACAAAATAAATGAAAAATGAATATAACAGCTGCTAGGTGACACAAAACTAAGATTAATTAGAATTAGGGAAAAATCAGAAAACAACACAAATGGAATAACACAACTGTGTACAGAAATAATGCCAAAAATTTTTCCGAATATGGTGAAAGAATTTAACATACAAATAAGTGAAGCACATGAAACACCAAATAGTCATGAGCAGAAAAGAAATTCTCTACAACATATTGTACTCAAAATCCCAGAATTCCAAAACAGAGACTCTCACAAGCTTAGAAAGAGCAACAAATCACTTATAAAGGTAAACTCCTCCAAAGTACAGCTGACTTCTCAACACAAACCATAAAAGTCAGCAGGGATTTGAAACATTTCAAGGCCCCAAAGAAAACAACTTCAAAATTAGATCCATACATCTCGTAAAACTATCTTTCATAATTGATGGAGAAATAAGATCCTTTCATGACAAAGAGCAGCTTAAGAAATTCAGGACCACTAAACTAAAACTCCAGAAAATTCTCAAGGAGATCCTAAAAAGAGACAATGAAAGCAACAGAAAGGGAAAAAGGGACCAACAACATAAAATACTGCAATGACAGAAATAAGTCAATAGCTCTCCATAATAAACTATTATAAATGGTCTCAATTCCCCAATCAAAAGACACTGATTGGCAGAATAAAACAAAAAATAAAACCCAACAAAATGATGTATAAAAGAAACACATTAAATCAAAACAAATTCATGGATTAAAAACCAAAAGATGGAAAACAATATTCCATGTAATGGAAACTTGAAAAATGCAGAGTAGCTCTCCTATTTTCAGACAAAGTGAACTTCAAACCAAAACTGATCAGAAGAGGCAAAGAAAGTCACTATATAATGGTTAAGGAAACAATTCAACAGGAAGAAATAACGATTATAAACATATATAGACTGAAAGCAGAAATAACTAACTTCATAAAACAAACACCATTGTATATAAAAGATCAAATAATCATCAACAAAATTATAGTGGAGTACCTCGATATACCACTATCACAAACAGACTGGTGAACTAGACAAAAAAATAAACAATAAAATAGAGTTGAACCAAACATTTGAGTAAATGGGCTTAATACATATCTAGAGTGTTTCACCCAACAACAACATAATACACATTGTTCTAAGCAGCACATGGGGCTTCTACAAAACAGAGTATATATTAGCCCAGAACCAATGCTTATATAGATGCAAAAAAAAAATCAAAATTATACCCTGCATACTATCAGACCATAGTACAATGAAACTAGAAATCGGAAGCATAACAAACCACAGATATTTCTACATAAGTGGGAATTTAAAATGCCATGGATCACAGTAAAAATCAAGGAATAAAGACAGTTCCTAAAATCAAACAACACTGCCAACCCAACGCACCAGAATTTAAGATTCAATGAAAGCATTTCTAATAGAGATGAAGTGAGTCCAAATAAATAACCTAATACTGTAGCTCAAACTCTTAAAAACGAAGAAAAATCAGGGGCTGGAGATTTAGCTCATTGGTGTCACTGCCCACCTCACAAGTACAAGGTCCTGAGTTTTTCCGGCCTTTTTTTTTTTTTTTTTTTTTTTTTTTTTTTTTTTTTTTTTTTGTACCAGGGATCAAACTACAAAAAAATCCAAATCTAAGCAGGGCGTGGTAGCGCATGCCTATAATCCCAGCACTTGGGAAGCTGAGTCAGGAGGATCACTGCAAATTAGAGACCAGCCTGGGCTACATAGTAAGTTCCAGGTCAGTTTCAACTACATAGCGAGACCCTGTCTCAAAAAACCAAAAAAAAAAAATAAGAAAAGAAAAAAATCCAAATCAGAAGCTAGTACAACAATCAATGAATTTATAAAGATCAGAGCAGAAATTAATGAAATTGAGACTAAAATAATGCAATGAATCAAAGAGCTGATTCTTCCAAAGAATGAACAAAATTACTCAAAACTTGCCATTCTTACCAAAAAAAGATGCAAATTAGTGCAATTAGAAATTTAAAAGGTTACATAACAAAGGGAATGTCTAATATTCAGAAGATTATTAGTAACTACTTCAAAAACCTATTAGCCAATGAATTGTAGAATCCAGAAGAAATGGATGGAATCCTAGATTCCTACATACATATGAAATAACAAACCTGAACCATAAAGATGTAAAAATTCTGATAAGTCCTATAATAGGCAAAGAAACTGAAGCAGTAATAAAAATAAATTAGCAACTAAAAGACCAGGATTCAATGGATAAACCACAGAATTCTATAAGAACTTCAAGGAAGAGGCAATGCCAATATTCCTCAAACTCCATAATGAAAGGGAAAGGGAAAAATTATTCACAAAGACATTCCTAAAAGCTACCATTACCATGCATCCAAAACTACATGAGGGCCTAACCCAAGAAGAGAACTACAGGCCAATTTCTTTAATGAACATAGATGTACAAGTCCTTCACAAGATACTGGCAAAGACAATGCAACAAGTCATCAAAAAGAATACATTGAATATTGTTGAACAGGTACAAGGTCCCAATGATGAATGTAACTGTATTGTATACCTACAAAGTACCAATAAAAAAAGAAAAAGAAATATAGGGATTTCCAAAACTCATGAGTAAACATTAAAAAATTGATTTAATAAAAAAAGTATATATACAATCATGGCCAAGCAGGCTTCATCACAGGGGAGCAACAAAATGGTTCAATATAATGCAAATAAATAAATGTAATAATATATCACATAAACAGAAGGACAAAACACAGATGATCATCAATAAACACTGAAAAAGCCTTTGACAATATCCAATATCCATTTGTGATTTTAAACAACCTAAATAAAATAGGTACAGGACCTTATCTCAATCTAACAAAAAGCCATTTAAGACAAGAAATAGTTCATGGTGGGCAGAAGGCAGGAAGGCAGCAAAGCAGCAAGCAGAGAAGAAGCAGCAGCATCAAACTGCCTTACTCTTTTATCCCTTCCAGGTTACCAACCTTTTGGGTGGTTCTACCCACACCTAAGGTGGGCCTTCCCACACCAAACCAATCAAAGGACTAATTTAGTACACACTCACCCTTAATACCAGCATCACACACATAATTCCAGCAACATCAACCCTAAATCCAGGCAGCTCTGAAAAGCCCCACATTTGACTACATGAGGTTTTAGGGGGACATCTAGACACAAGCCATAACAATACCATCTATAACAACATAAAGAAAAATTAAATATTTAGATATTAACCTAACAAAGGAAGTAAAACTTCTCTATAATGAGTACTATGGTACTCTGAAAAAAGAGATCAAATACAACATCAGAAAGTGGAACAGTATCGCCAGTTCTTAGATAGGCATAACTAGTATTGTCAAAATGACAATACACCCAAAACTGATATACAGATTTAATAGAATCCCAATCAAAATACAAACATCATTCCTCACAAATACATAGAAAACAATTGTAAAATTTGTACAGACAAAGAAGAGACCCAGAATAGCCAAAGCAATCCTTAGCAATGAAAGCAAAGCAGGAAGCACCACGAACCTAGGCTTCATGTGGAATTACAAAGCTACAGTAATAAAAACTACATGTCACTGTCATAAAAACAGACACATGGATCAATGCAACACAACAGAGCATGCAGAAACAAGCTCAGCCACTGTGGAAAGCAGTATGAAGAATTCTCAAAAAACTAAAACTAGAAATTCAATTTGGGCCAGCTAATCACCTTGTAGGTACCTTCTTGAAAGAGTTAAAGATATCATATTATACTGACACATGAATACTAACGTTTATAGCAGCACAATTCATAATAGCTAAATCTTGGACATGATCCATATGTTCATCAACAGATAAGTAGGTAAAGAAAAGGTCATATTTACACACTGTTCAATACTACTGTGCCATAAAGAAGAATAAACTTCAGTCATTTGTAGAAAACTTGATGTACTTTGAGACCATAATGTTAAGCGAAATAAATCAGATACACAGGTTATTTATCAGATGGTTCTCTTATACAAAATATAAAGTACAAAAGAGAAAATAGGTAGGTAACAAAAAATACAATAATTTATCTTTTACAAAAGAGAAAGAGATCAAGAAATGGGGTAGTGGAGAGGGTGAGTGGGAAGAGAATGAAAGAAGAAATAAGATATATTATGTAAATGTACCAAACTGCCATGAGGAATGTAGTAATTATATACTGCCAACAGGTACCGATAGAAATTAAAATTGAAACAAAAAAGAAAAGATATACCTCTATTTGTATCATCCATCTTAGTACAAATTACCCGTAGCTTTCCATTGTCCTCAGACTCTTTAGCCTGCCTTCAGGGGCCCTCATAATATGATCAGAGTTTACTTTTCAGGCTTTGTCTTTTGGTACACCTACCTCTATGCTTCTGGCTTACTGAATTACTTTCAGTTCTCAAATAAATATAAGGCAATATACTTTATAGCTCTAAAACTACTATATACAAAGGGTGAATACAGCATTATGAAAAATTACATCAGGAGAATAGGTTCCATCTTTGACAATTCTTGGCATACCAGGACAGTAGAAACAAACTGTGTCTTCCACATCCATGTGCCTTTAATTTATACAGCAGTTAATGTGAAATTCTTCTACTCCTTTACTTTACTTATCAAACTCCTACTCAACACTCAAATTCTACTTCAAACACTATTTCTTAAACTCCAATCAGAGTGCTCAGCATATTTTACTGGCATACTTGTCTATCTTCTGCATCTGACCTTGAACTTCTTAAAGACAAAAACTTTAGATGATTCATTTTTTTGTGCCTTCTATGTACTGCACAATGTCTGGCAGAAATGATGCCCAGTATATTCAATATGCAAATATTCAGCTGAGTGGCAAAGTCACACCCATTTGATAAATTCAAAAACTGCAGAACAGAACATCATACAGCATAAAGTAGTGGTTCTGATCTAGGGGCAATTTTGCCTCCCCGGGGACATTCGGCAATACATGGAGAAATTTTAGGTTGTTACATCTAGTTCAATTAAAATAAAGTCAAGACAGGCTAGGATACTGCTAAACACACCATCACACACAGTACTATTCCATCAAACAAAGAATTATCCAGGCTGAAATTTCAATAGTGGTAACATTGAAAAATTGCAATGAAATACTAAAAATATAAACCCAACAAGTAAGAGAACACGTCTCTCAAAAGTATCAAAATTCAGTTGCTCTAAGGGGAGAAAAGCATGATAACATCACTGCTAAAGTGCCATGCCGTTGGTACTAGCAACCTCTGGGTGTGTCTCTTCTAACCAATCCCCAGTAAAATAACTCTGGGCTGGGACTAAAATCACAGGCTCTTGGGTCATAGTTCAAAAGTAAAATCAAATACTACATGTAGGTTTGCAGATTATTTAAGAAGTAGGAAAGCTTGAATCTCCTGCAACACTCTGTGACTGGATGAGTTAAAGTATTTTCCTTATTTAGTAGTGAACAACAAATACTGTGTTGCCCACTGAAATCATGATGGCCCATAAGTGCTTTTAAGAGAAACCATGTGATCCTACAGAAGAGAAGAATATATAGTGGGTAGTGACAGAAGAAAAAATCCATTTTGGCATTTCACAGACCTAAATTTAATCATAGGGTGCCATTTGTTAATTGGGTGACTTTCAAAAGCTGGTCTCTCTGAGACTCAGTAGTGTCATGTGTAGAATGGATATATAGTGGAATCAAAGATTAATTGAGACAAGGCTTTTAAGCACTCTACTCCATACAAGGAACACAAGAGATGTGATAAATATTTTTCAGCCTCCTTCTACCCCAAACAGTCATCAGAAGGATTAAAGATAATTAATAATGCTCATTTTAAATCTCAGACAAAACCTTAGGTCATATCACTGTACAGTTTGAAAGACAAGCCCTTAAGTTCTCCTCAATTTTCCTTCTTTTTTACATTTATTATTCCCATCCTGCTTTCCATGTAGTTAGAGCTGTAAGGGTCTACGAATTATTTGAGTACCCAGCATTAAAAAAGGTACCAGCCTACTATAACTCATTGTGCAACCCTGATTTCCCACACACATTTCTCTTGGGTATAAAGATAGCCTTCAATGGTTGGCTGTCCTGGAAGCTTGCATGTCTGGGGAGCTTCTTTCATCCTTTTCTTAAGTTCTTCCATCTCTTCTCGGGTACTGGAGAAATGATTTCTTGTCTGTCAAGACATCAGTATCATAATTTATCATCATTAGGTCACCATGAAAGAAGTATTTATTCAAATTCAATACAAAATATTCTCTTCTTCAGTTATGTGCTACAATACAGCCGAATAAATAAATAAATAAATATTGAATAGTGTAGTAACCAGAAAATAATTTTATAGAGTTTATTGGTACTCTTTAGAAGGGAAACAAAAATATATATAAAAATATATCCATAAAACCACAAATGGGAGATTTTTTTTCCAATGGAAATCATGTAAGGCTCTAAGAAATAAAAAAGCTTAGAAGTCTGAGTATCAGACTGACTCTTTTACAGCAGTGAGGTTACAAAGAAAGTTCCTAAAGATAGTATTATCGTAGCAGCTTCTATGTTCTTCCCCAAATACAATTACTCCTTACTTCACTTTGAGCCAAGTTCTGGACATGAGGATAAGATGTATGAGAGCATGCTGTTTGAAAACATGCAAACAAAACTTACTCAGTCTCGACACTATAACATCATGTCAGTTTTTTAAAAAGTAATCTGTACTACCAATGAGCCTGCAAATGAGGCAGCCATATGTAAACATGTTAAGGCTTATTGTCATGTATACTTCTCAAGTTATATATGGAAGAAGTTTCAAATTATTAACTTGGTGGTAAGAAAGATAGGAGCTCTAATATTTTGGTGAATGAGATTACCAGAAAGAAGACATAGTGAAAAAAAACAAAAAAAACTTCAAGTTATAATCCTCCTAAACAAGGATGGGCTTATTTTCACTATGACCTTCTAGCATTTTTCAACTGGAAGTATCTATAAATTTCAGACAATGGAATACCAAGTCCAATGTCCATGACCTCAGTGATGCCTTCTCTCTGAGTCTAGCAGGCAGGCAATAGTTAAAATTTTTGTGCGTCTTTAAAAACTTTGGCTTTGGGCCAGGGATTTAGCATGGTGGTTCACAAGTCCAAGCACAAGAGCCTGAGTTCGACACCCAGTACCAAAAAAAAAAAAAAAATTGGCTTTGAGTCTATTGTAACCCTTATCAAAATGGATTATGATTTATGTGTCTCCTTCAAGAAATTCTATGTTCCTTTAAAACATAAAAACTTATTTTCCTCACTGTGGGATGCTTTTCATAAGTCCTAGCATAGACCACATGCTCATTGTATCCATAAACACTCATTAAATATGGGTTGCACAAGTGCATGAGTAAAAGAATGTAGTGACACTATACTTGTCCAAATTTGTAGAAAGGCTTTGCCCATTGCCTTTCTATAAGAATCACATGGGAAAGAAGGTAGAGAAATCCTTTAACATAATTTATTTAGCACTAGTAGTAAGTACTAAAAATAACAAAGAGAAGACAAAATTGCTATTTATGGTAACGAAACCCATAGTGATAATATCTCAACTGACCAGGAAAGTAGCTTAAGACCTAGACAAGCCTACGGTTGGACTCTGATGTGGGAGTGATGCAAGACATTAGCAACACTTAATAAATATTGGCTATACTGAGGTATTGGTCAGCCAAAAGAGGGAAGCATTAAAAGTGGAAGAGCAAATACAGTCTAGTACACGAACATATTTGTGACCTGCATCAGTATGTCCTGATAAATTGCAATAACCTAGAATTCCAAGGTTAAAACCATAGGGATGAAAATTTAACTGAACATATAGGTGATAAAACCAGGTGACTGGTTTTGCAACTCACATTCTGCAAACTGAGCTGGAGCTGCTGTTTGTATGGAAGGAAATCCTGTGTGAGCTCCACAGTCAAGCTGTTGGAAATGAAGAGGCTATGAAGAAAGGCCAAGACCTAAGGTAAACATGCAAAAATAATTTTATCACCATCACCTTCTAATTATTCAAAATAAAGGAACTATGAACTCAGAGGAGAACCTCTACAGTGCTTATTCAGCATAGTGTTAAAAGCATTTATGTAAATACAGATCTATAAACAACTATTCTCATATTAGTTTAAATTTTAACACTGGATTCAATTTGAGAAAGTAACACATTTATTCAGTTAGAACTTTAAATTGAATACATAGCCATTGGTGATTTGGAGTGGTGTGGGAATGGACTATCATTTCTCTATACAGGTTGAGCATCTCTAATTTAAAAATCTGAAATCCAAACTCCTGCAAAATCTGAACTTCTTGAGCATCGACATGACTCCCCAAATGGAAAATTGCATGCCTGACTTCATGTGATGGGTCTCAGTCAAACACAAGCCCAGTAAAAATATTGTATAAATTACCTTCAGGCTATAAGGTATATAGGAAATATAAATAAAGTTTGTGTTTAGACTTGGGTCTTATCCTCAAGATATTTCATTGTATATGTTAAAATACTTCAAAATAAAAAATTCAAAAACACTTCTGTTATCAAGCGTTAGATAAGGTATAATAAATCTGTACATCCTCAATTCTGTTATACCATTGCTGCTAAACAAATATTTGTGAAACAAATGAACAAAAAAATAGAAGAGGACCAAGGAGTCAATATTCAAATTAAAAATGTTTTAGGGGGTTGGTGAATAAGAGATACAAATGATCAATAATGTATTTTAAATGTTAAAAATGTTGAACCCCATTAACAACAAAGCATACATAAATAAACCAAAACAAAATGATTTGCATCTATCAAATTAGAAATACCTTATTGCAAATTTCCATGTTAGAAAAGTATGATAGGTGGTAGTGAAAGTTGCACCATTCTTCTTAGAAAGCAAATATGTGACCACGTATGCAGTATGATTAACATATATTCAGTGAATATTTATTTTTTTAAATTATGACAGTAAAACACATACTGCCATTAATTCCCATCAAAATATTCAACCTTGCTTCAGACATTCTTATCCCATTGTTCTTTCTACTTTCTAGAGCAGTTCTAGAAGTACTCTTTCTTGAGTATCTTCATAAAGGTACAGTGAATGTCACAGCCAAGTGACATCCAATGAAAAAGCAGGTTTGAAAAACATTACACTGTGTCTTTATCCATATTATTCACCAGCTGTGGCACCATGCAACTGCTGACTCTTCTCCACCATCAAAATGACCATGAAAGATAGAGGGTTTGTATTGATTCAGGATATCAAGGCAGCCATGACAGCACAACTAAAGACACTCACACAAGAGGACTCTTCAGAACTGTTTCAAAAAGTGGCAAGAATGAAAGGATAAATGTGTTCAAAGTGAGGGTGGGCATTCCAAGAGTGATTACTGGAAATATGCTTTTAACTCTAATTCTTTAAAAATTTTAAAATTCAACATATTTTTGATCACACTTTGTAGAAAAATGCATTCACAGAGTATACACAAATTATACATAAATGCATACAAAAGAATATAATGCTCACATGAATGTACATTTATTACAAATGTGAAGATATGTGTACTGTACTTACACTCACACACAATACTTTCTGTTTCTTTATACACTTTCTCCATCTCAGGAAAATGAATCTCTATCCATTTGTCATTAAAGCCAGAAACTAAAGAATCATCACTGACTTCTCCTTCACTCTTTAGTCCATTTCATCAGTAATTTCTGTTACTCTTGCTTCCAAAATATATCTCTAATTCAACCATTATTTACTGTTTCCTCTATCACTACCCTAATTCAAGCTAATATCTCCACTTGCCTAGACTATTGCAGAAGCCTCCTAACAGGCTTCCTCACTTCAGTACTTGACTCATTTGAAGCCATCCTCCACATAATAGAAGTGGCCCACATCAGGTCATTCAGTGGCTTTTCATAGTACTTAGATTATAATCCAAACACCTTACCACATGAACCAGTCCAATGCCTTCCTACCAAGAACTTACTTTTGGCCATTCTTTCCTTTCACCAGTATCTAAACACATGAATTATCTTTGCATTCCTTTTGTACACATTCTCTCCTAATTTATGGACTCTGCACTTTTATTTGTGTATGTCTGAATGTTCTTTCTCTACTATGTTCATGGCTGCATCTTCTCTTCCTTTAGATATCTTAAGTGGCATTTTCAGAGGTCTTCCTCAACAGCTTCATTTAAAGTAGCATTTGGAACTTTTCAATTCTTTCATCACACAACTTACAATTATATTGATGTGTTAAACCTTCTTTCCTTCCTAACTCATGAAAGTATAGTCTTCATAAAAAAATCTTTCTTAGGAGCGAAAGGTGTAGGGAAGGTGGGAAGGGAAGGGGAAGTGTAATAAGGGAAAAGAAAAAAATGTGAGATAATGAAAAGATGAAAATAAAGTGTTTGTAAATGGGGAGGGGAGGAGGGGGTGAAGGGAGGGTAGGGGTAAGGGGAAAAAATGAGAATCAAGACTTGTCACGTAGAGGTACAAGATCCCAACAATGAATGTAACTGTACTGTATCCCTAAAATGTACCAATAAACTCAATTAAAGTTGAAAAAAAAGTGTTTCATGTTCACTATAGTATAACCAATATCTAGCATACTGTGTGGAATATGACAAAATCTTAATAAACACAGAGTAATGAATAAATACCTTTCTGCACACATAAATACACAAATTTATACATATGAGCATCGATATACATATGGAGATATACATACTCATGTGCTATATAGAAGCATGTACACATGTATACATATATCCATAGCTAAAATTACATGTGCACACAAATAAAGACATACGATATAGCCAGGTGTGGTGGCATACACCTGTAATCCCAGCACTTGGGAGACTGAGGCAGGAGGATCGCTGTGAGTTCAAGACCAGCCTGGACCACACATTGAGTTCCAGGACAGACTCAACTACATAGTGAGACCCTGTCTCAAAAAACAAAAAAACAAAACAAAACAAAAAAGACATATGATATGCACACAGAGAATTTGGAAGGGAAAGTAATATAACATTAGCAGTGATTGTTTCTACCTAAGGGATCTGTATGTCTAATCTATGCATTTTTTTCTAAAATTTCTACAATTTGTTCAGTTTATAAGAAAGGTTATGAAGATTCAGCATACCTGTCAGACAAAAGCATATTACCTTTTTCTAATAAGATAAGGAGACTAAATAAAAACAATTATACAGGCTAGAAATGAAAAGAGGAGACTACAAAGTCTTTGAATGCAAGGGACAGGAGTTTTTAGCATGGGAACTAGAATAGAATAAGTACTTTCAGAAGCCTCCTGAAAGCATGAGAGGAAGGAAGGGTGAAGAACGTGGTAATAGGAGGTGTGGCAGACAAACTGAAGGAGGGCCAAAAGGGAGGAGGGAGAAAGAGAAAAGAGGAAGAGAGAAAATGAAAGAAAGATGGAGGAAAAGATGAAGAAGGGCTATATCAGTAAAAAAGAAAAAACATATGTTAGTGTGACCTATGTGCTTGACATTTATGACTGAGCAATGACTGCCCATTGCATTCATTGAGATTTCATTTTTATGATCAAAGCTCTGCATATTCACCTAGCATTTAGAAAATATTTTTAGACTATTCATCAGATGAGAGAACTTACTGGCTCCACAATATTGAACTTCTTAGACTCCTGAACTTCCTGGATTTGATAAACATAATCAAGGGAAGACTCGAAGAAATTGTGTCTCTCTTTATCCACCTGTAGGTCTGCCTATAGAAGAATAGCAAAAAATATTACAAATGTGCATAGTCATTTCTTTTTTTTCTTTTACTCTGTAATAGTATTTATTACCTTAAAAAGTAATCCCAAAGTCATCAGTGGACATTTCTCTTTTGGTCCATGGCAATTATCAATGTGCTTTTCTTTTCCAGAATTTTACATTGCATACAAATTTAATCATGCAAAATATATGTGGTTGCTACTTATTCTCTTTTTTTCCCACATTAAGCTTATTGGTACATTTTAGATATACAACACTGTTACATTCATCATTGGGAACTTGTACCCCTCTATATGATATACGTAGGTTCTTATTTTTCTCCACTCCCCTGCCCTCCCTTCACCCCTCCAGCCTTCCCTATTTATAAAGATTTTGTTTTTTTTTTCATTTTCCCATATATTTTGTTTTCCCTTCTTACCTTCCTCCCTACCCTCCCACTTCCCCTACTCCTTTAGTCCTTTTCATCCTATTAAACAATATCAATTATACACTTTGATCCTTATTTACACTTTTAATCTTTCAAACCAGAGAAACTATTTGGTATTTACAAATGTGTGTCTTATTTATATCACTTAAGAGTATGGTCTCAATACACATTCATTTAGCTACAAATGTCTCTAGTTTCTTGTTCTTTATAGCTGAGTAATATTCCATTTTATAGAAAAATCACATCTTCTTTATCCAGTCTCCAGATGATGGGCAATTTGGCTGTTTCGAAGTTTTAGCTATTATAAATTCTGCTGCTATAAACATGGTTAAGCATATATCATTGTGGTATGATTTTTTCAATTCTATTGGGAAGATACCTATTTCAGCAATAGCTCAGACAAATAGAACTTCTAATTCTAGTTGTCTTAGGTATCTCCATATTGAGTTCCAAAGTGGTTGCACCACTCTGTACACCCACCAACAATAAAGAAGGGTTCCTTTCTGCCCACAACCTTCTCAGCATTTACTATTGGTTGATTTCTTGACAGCAGCCATTCTTTTTTTTTCCTCATTGAGTTTATTGGTACATTTTAGGTATACAGTACAGTTACATTCATTATTGGGATCTTGTACCTTTACATGACAGGTCTTGGTTCTCATTTTTTCCCCTGACAGCAGCCATTCTTTCTGGGGTGAGGTGGAATCTCAGTGTTGTTTTCATCTGCATCTCTCAACTGACCATTGCTGTTGAACATTTTTTAATATATTTGTTATGTGCTATTACTTCTTTGTCTGAGAAATGTCCGTTCATTTCAGATGCCCATTTTTGAATTGGATCTTTATATTTGGGGGGCCTGATTTTCTTTTGAGTTCTTCATATATTCTAGATAGTAGATCTTTGTCTGAGAAACAGCCAGTAAAAATTTTTTCCCACACTGTAAGTTGTCTCTTAGCTCTGTTGGTGGTATCTCTTGAAGTGCAGCTTTTTCAAAAAATGAGACCAAGTTGTTGATTCTTTGTACTAGTTCCTGTGCTACTGAGGATTTGTTCATAAAATCTTATCCTATGCCAATGTCTTCCAGAGTTCTACCTAACCTATCTACCAGCAAGTTTAGTATTTCTCTTTTAATATTTAGATCACTGATCTGCTTCAATTTTAGTCTGGTGCATGGTGAAACATAGGGATCTAATTTCAATCTTTGGCAAGGTGAAACCCAGTTTTTCCAACACCATTTATTAAAGAGGATATCTTTCCTCCAGTGAAAATGGTTGGCTCTTTCATCAAAGATGAGGTAGCTGAGTATGTTTGGAATTGTTTCTCCATCTTAATCTATTCCATTGATCCTCAGGTCTGTTTCTTTGCCAGTACCATACTATTTTTATCATAGTGAATGTGTAGTATAGTTTCAAGTTGGGGAATGTGATACCCCCTGCCATATCTCTGTTCCTAAGAATTGCTTTTGCTATTCTTAGCTCTGTTCTCATTCCAAATAAATTTTTGGATTGTTTTCTCTAGTTCTGTACATGGTCATTTCTTAAGTCAGTGATTATAAATTCAACAAGATTCTAGAATCAAAGAAGCATTTAGCCACAACTACTATCCTATCTCTTTTCCCAATGAGTAAATATGAAGACTACGAGGGACTGACCCAAGGCTTCCAGTTTCTTGTTCAACATGTAAGAAGCTTGGAAATCATCATACTTATCCTCACAACAAGAAAAATCTCAACAAGTGATAAATCAGATCTTCTTAGATCCAACAGAGAACTGAAGTCAGAGAGAAGAATGATACTCCAAAGAGTAGATGGAAATGAAAACATACAACCAGAGCATACCAGAGCATAAGCTCAATAGTTAAAGCCTGCTGCACTAGCCAACACAGAAGGACATTGGTACTGCAAGAACTGCAATCTCAGATGTATTTAAAGAGAAATTGCTAAGAAAATACAAATACAAAACAAGGATGTCAGAGAAAATCATATTTTCTGAATATAACAACAGTAGCCCAGATAAACACAAAACCTCACACTGAAGATTTATTTATCTCAGTTTCTTTATTCAAAATATATCTGGTTTGCGGTTGGGTATTTAGCTCAGTGGTACCACCAACTGCCTCATAATCGAAAGATCCTGAGTTTAATCTCTGGTACCAAAAAAAAAA